TCAGTGCCTTCCCAATTGTGTCGGTAGTCGCAATCGAGTGCATGTGCAAAAATGAGGGGGTCCGCGACGGATTGCTAGTTTGAGTTCTTTGATATGTATGCCCTGACGTCAACCCGCACGACCAACATACACGCAAGAGCAATTTACGCATGAGATGCGATAAATTACATTCGTTTGTTGCTCATTGGGGATGGGATCCTTCACTCGAGATATTGCTGTGCGTAGCGAAGATGCTGGTTGGTCGGCAACGTGAATACCCGAGCGATTTAACTGCCGGGCGATTATTTTAGAGGTTCCACGCATATATTTGGCAGGGGGTAAAATTTTCTTGTAAAAATATCGCCAGTGGAGGTGGTGTCTTGCGACTGTGTTTGGTGCATGAGGCAGTTCTTTACAAAACCAATCGGATATCCGTTAGAGCGAAATAACCGATACAGATGAGCAAGCTCTTACCTGAGGAGGTCGTTGCTGTTGCAGCAACGGAAGGCCTGGCGGAACATAGTTCGGACGCAGCTTCTTTTGTGGGCATCAGGGTGGTGGTTTCCATTGTGGAGGATAATCTCAGAATTAGAGTCTTTCCTATGGACACTTTTTGCGAGGCTACAATGGCTCATCCTTTGTACTCCAGGTCCATAAACGGCAAGCTGTCTCCAATTGTCTCTTCGCGGGTAAACCGTATGGCTGGGAAGACGTCATTATGTCTCCGGTGAAGCCGTTCGACTTCGCGGTTCTTTATTATGGCAAAGGTGTCATCAACGTAGCGAAACCATAGTTTTTGCTTGATAGTTTGGATAACTGCCTCTTCTAGTCTCTGAAACACTAGCTCGTCGTGTAGCCTTGATAGTGATGAGCCTATCGGGGTTTACTTTCACTTTTGGTGGCATTTGCGTCCAATTGACAATAATTTCTAAGGGAAGGTTTGAGCAGTTCTATAACACGCTGCGTTTGGATCTCAATAGGATTGTTCTGTAGGCGTTGGGTTACGCATTCAATCGCCAAATCGTGTGGTGTGGAGGAAAACAAAGCAATGACGTCAGGGGACAGGAGGCATTCATCAGATCTTACTTCGAGGCCTTGGATCCTGTGGAGGAGTGCGTGAGAGTTGTTAATGTTGTAGTCGGATCCCTGAGTAAGCCAATTCAGAGGACTTTACAACCACTTATTTAGCTAAATAATAAATAGGTGATCCGATGAATGGCACAATAATCCTCGGCGGGGCATCCATTATGTGCATTTTGGGAGGCCTTACGAGTGTGCGATATGGGAATCATTAATGTTCATCAACTTGGAGTCATGTCGACTTACATGTTTACGGTTATATTTGCCAAATCTGCTTAAATTTGGTAGCCTCGTCAGCCTAAAGATATGAAACGTTTTTCCTTTGTCACCCCTATCGGCGAAATTAAGCAAATTTTGTTTTGTTCATCAAACCGCATGTCAACTAATACAAACGCGTAGAAAATGCAACCGGTTATTAGGAAACTGTTTTTGAATCTACACTCGGAATGTAAACAATTGGCAAACCGCCATACCTGACAATACACTAATTCATAAAGGACATTTGAATGTAAACTTCACTAAAGGCTATTGTCAAACATTGTTCCGCTTAAGTCGCCACATTTTCCCGGCTTTTTGCATGGATAGGTCTTCCGTACATCGTAAACTGAAGCTTACTAAACTATCACCACTTTTTCACATTCTCGTAATTTCCTGATTTTTTTTAGAAAATTGGTACTTCTGCACAACTTAACATTACCCTTAATATTTTTGTAGTGTTTTTAATTTCCTTGAAGTTGTTTTTTTATCAGTATAGATATCGGGTCCATTCATGGGTGTCGGTTTGCGAATGATTAGCAACCATTTGTTAATCTTAACATGTTTCATTTGTTAAGTCATGTACTGCATGTTTTATGATTTTATTTATTCAAATATCAGGTCACTAAGTCCCAACTTGGAAGGCCAATCATCCGCAGGGACCGTTGATGACCAATGTACGTGAAGGCACTTTCTGTGCTTTAACATCAAATATTAAGTATCTCCCTTAGGTGCTATAAACTTTTATGCTAACTTTAATAGGTCGGATATTTACCTCATTCCCGCTTACGTCCGCTTTTGTTTTACTCGTTGTATCTGTATCCTTGTATCACATACAAATACAAGGCTGCCATTTAAAATGAAAGTTACTAAGGAAATCGTAAGTTAGATAACAGATCTTCCAGAACTAGTTGTGGATTATCTAGGGCTTCTAATAAACAGGATTTTTAAGATTATCTAGCTTAATCTAATCAAATGCACGCTCCCAAACATATTTTTCTATTATGTCTCCACTGTGATTTGTTGCTATGCCCAGCGTGACAGTCATGCCAGAAATAGAAACCACAAATTATAATACGAAGGTTTTATGTACATCATGAACAATATACCCTTAACTTAAAAAGCATAGAAGACCAAATGTTTTCGTCTCTGTGAAATAGCCAAAAATCATAAAATTTCGCTACGTTTATGGTGTTTAAAAACAAGAGACTTAATTCGCTAAATGACAGAATGAAAATAATAACTTCAACGTACAGAATTGAGTGGAGGACTTACAAAATCCTAACGATTCTTTCGAAAATCCTAGTGACAGCCATGCTAATGGAACGTGAACATATTCATGCACTGTGCTCAGTCTTCCGATGCTTAAGGCAATACAAATTATGACTCCTCTGTGAAACGAATTCTGTTTTCTTAATTGAAACCAAGAAGGTTCAACATCTGGTCTGAAATCTGATGGTACAAATGCTGATTGAATGTATTGTATTAGGACTCTGTGCTAAATAGAAACGCATTGAGCGTTTTCAGACATTTAAAGTTAGGTGCTTACAAATGGTTGGTTAGTAGGCAAAAGAGAAGACTAAAGAATTTCCGATCCCTCAATTTTTTAAATTCGTAAAACGAATTAGCATCTCCACTCATATGCCCAAGGAAATAGAAGAAACGATAAGGCCCCTTGCACTGATGTCTATTTTCAAGTCCAGGATGTACTTAATAAGTCGAAAGTTTTCGAGCGATGTCTTTTATTTATTCTATAACATTATTGTGATTTCCAGCCGACCCATCATAAGAGGTTTCAAAAATGTAGCAGACAAAATAAAAAGCGAAAAGATTAGAAATAGCCACTTTTTAATTTATTAAAAGCCGTTTGCTCAGGCCTATCGCAATATGTTGAAAAGGGTTCTTTTGCTACTCACATTTTCACAAAGTTTCTTAACCTGTCAAACTGTTAAACTAGTTGCTTGCGAGCGAATACTGTTTTCACTTTAAATCTGTTTGCAGAAGACGCTGAGTTTAATTTAGAAATCCAGAATACACGTCAATAACTGTCACCAAGGAAAGTATTAGCGCGTATGCATGCAGATACCTTTTAGCTAAGGTTAAGTTTTTGCTTTCTTATTTACAAAGAAGCCTAGGGAACAGATGCAAAACATTCTGATTGCTATTGTCCAGCCTTGCGAAAATCTTAAATTAAGATTGATTACAAGGCAATTATTATGCGATTCTTACAGATGAGTTCCCCTTCCTTCATGAAGACCCCCGCCTGGACAAAACACAACACACACTCCTTTGTGCTTTGATAGAGACATTGATATTGAGCTCTTTGCAAGATCGGCGGCTCGTTTAATTTCTGCAACACATCATATTCTAAAAAACCTGAAAATGACCCGTTTTGAGGTGACATCTGTATCTAGAGTTTTGACTGAGCATATTTCCGTAACTTCTTGCAATTAATCATCTGGTTAGGGCTCCGAGGTTGGTGACTATCATCGCCTAACTTGTGATACTTAAAATGGGTCTACCACAGACGTGGCTTCAAAGTAAAATAAAAAGAAATTAATATTGGGTCTGATCTTCTTAATATCATCTTTGATTTTCCGGCATCGCGTCGCAGTTTCGCACCAAAGCAATACGAAAATAGTCTACCTCTATGACGCTTACAAAATATGCGTTTTTGATAAGGTCAGAGAATTCGAAGATGGGGTAGGCGGGCTAGACAAATTGCAGACATTTGGGTTCTGTTGTAAAACTGTATTTGGCCAAGAGGTCGTGGTTACATCTTTTGACGTTCTGAGTAGGACACAAAACCGCCTGAGCCTTGCCATATATTGATAAACCATGATTTTAGAAATTTATAATTTATGCTTTATGAAAGACTTAAAACTTTTCAGTAGCCCTTACTCTCACGCAGCTTTTGCTTTCTCAAGCAAATGTTAGTTGCCTTCTGAAATCAAACCATCTTCTGTCAATTAACCCCGCATACTCAAAAATGTGTACGTCTCACAATGGGAGTTGTGTGCAGTATCCTCCAGTCTTCTGCAACCCCATGATAGGAAGACGCCTCGATCCGCGCCTCTCTTCTTCCTCATTTGTTTCGAACTTATGGTCACACACCGCTTAGGATAAGCATACAAGCAGTTTTTTAAAAGGAAGCACAGTTACACGTTGTCCGATCGTATTCGGTTGCAGGGGATTTAAAACAAATTAGCAAACCACAAAGGCACAGATAATATAAGCTCACTTCTGAATGCGAGTTTTTTGCTGTCGGCTCTGACCGCTTCCCACCAGTCTCACGGAAGAGATCCACAGTGAGTGAAAACATTTAAAAAATATACCGTGACTGGAGAGATGGAGGAATGAAATTATCCCCCAGTTTGAAAACCATTGGGGGTGTCTTCTGTTCGTTAGGGATAGGGTGAGATACATGGAAATAATTTGAAGAGAAGGGGAGGCATAGTGGAGCGAGGGAGGATGTGGATGCAGGTTGATAGTGAGTGCTGATGTCAAGCGATAGTAGTGTTGAATGATTGCAGACCCTCACACTTGAGAAACGCCGTTGAGCGAAGTGTGTGTGGCGTTTTCTGTAGATACTACCTTGTCTCTAGCGCTGTACGTTGAGGAACTAATGGGTCCATCCCACATTTCGTGCGTTACGATAAACAGGGATAAAGGCGAATCGTCCCCACCTACGGCTCTTTTGTCTTTTCATTGCATCTGAATGCTGACCAGTCCATGCTGTTGAAGTCGGCCGATTTTGACCGTAACGCCCTGTACCATTCCTCGAACTCTGAGCTGCAATACAAAGAATAAAGACAAGGTTTTGACAAGATTCTAATCGAATCATTATGTATATTTGCGGTCAGCGCGTATTGTTATGGTATTGCAATGTGTATAAAACTAAAAAAAAGTATGTAGAACAATTAAGAAAATGCCAAATGAAGACTTTATTTTATTTACACCAGCTATTAATCCAAACCACATTTTGTTTTCAATAGCAAGAACTTTATTTAAGACTTATGCTCTTAATGCCTTAAGGCAATTAGAATTATGTAATGCTTTGAACCGTTTGTGACCCCCGATCAATTAAGAAAAGCACATAATTAAGATAAGTAGTCTTTCGTCCAACGGTTTATTTTTACATCTTGCGCATGGCGGGGGTAGGCTTTCTTCGGTGGTCGTAAAATAAATGCAAATACTATGTGCCTCATTTAGGCGGAATTCTCCGAAAACCGGGTTGTAATTTAACCCTCCCCCTCGTTTACGCGCAGCGCATACTATCAAGCAAAAGGAAAGTAACAAGCGAATATCAAATGCAAGTGTTCTGCTAAATTTTCAACGCACATTCCACCTACTTTATGCTCCTCACAGATTTAAGAGTTGAAGATTTGCCACACCAGTGGGCCTCTCAACACTGCCTTATGGTATAAACTTGGCGAAATTTAAACTCCTAAATTTGGAATGGTAGGGGTAGACGAATAAAGTCCTATATCGTAATTTGAGTGTACTTTCTCGCAAAGTCTGCTATAAATGCGCTTAATGGTATAAAATATTTGGGCGTCGCCCGGTGGTTACAGCCCTGTCTCGAGCTAATGTCATAGTGACTGTCAACAAACTAAAACGAGATTGACTAAATCAAGTTACCTTTGCTGTCAGAATGTCGACTGGAAGTCCTTTAAAGTTAAATACATCTTGCCGGGTGAAAATGTAGGCCAACAGAGCAAAAAAACATATCTGAGGAAGCAAATGCGTCAATGAAACTAACCGTCTTCTTTCCGCTGACCAAATACACACCATAATCCTCGCATATATAAAAAGTAAATCAAAATTGATGACGTCAAAATTCCAAAAGTACCAAGACATCATCACTAAGGCAGGAGTGTCTAAAAATTCCCAAAATTTACTGAGCCTTCTAAAACCTCTTCCAAGGAAGAGGCAGACTAGATAGTTTTAATTAGCTATTTGTGGTGACGCTTGTGCTGTCCAAGACTCACTTCAGAGTCGCAGAACATAGTGCATTATTATTTCACCAGTTATAAACATTAAAACTCGGCCCTTTACATTTAGGGCTATATCTCAACCCCAATTAAAAGCAAAAGCAACAGCACTTGTTCTAGTACGTAAGGCAGGGAACAAGAACAGTGAGAATTACTGGGCTGTTTTCAAAAAATACTGGCAGAATAGTTTCTCCCTATCTTACTCCACCCTTAGAGCAAAGTAACTTCTCAGCCACTTTTGCATATGATTGCTCGCGGTACAGATTCCAAGGGCTATGTAACGTTTTTGGCTGTAGTTTGCTGTATGCTGTGTGGTACGGAAAGTCTTTAGGTGTCCGGAATCACTGTCCTTTTCGAAGCCCCCTCTGCTTTAACACGCACAGAAAATAATGAACATTTCCCACTTCTGTTTACCTAATAGTTTTTGTGTACGTCATGCCACCTAGCTTGGGAGCCTGGCAGTCTTTTGTCGGAAAAAATCCCTCGTCTTCATAAATATTGTAAGCCTAAGGAAACAACCCTGTTGTCTAGTACAGGTGAGTAATGGAGAAGTGGAGGAGACCGACTACCCGGGTAGGTTGATACCAATCCCTAGTTAAGCAGGCTTGCCTACGTGCATAGAAGGGTGTTAAATTACAGTAAGTGATTTATCTCATGAAATGTTGGCTGAAATTCGGAAATTTGTTTTTGGTTAGAAAGGATTACTTAGGCGCCGTTGTAATACTGATTATTTTGCAGCATAATCCCATACTATTCCAGACTTGGAAGGATGTCAACTTTTGAATACACTGCTTATCAATCTCCTGCAAAAACTGTACTCTGTGCAAAAATGACATCTTGAGAAGCATGCATTTTTCACATTGATTTTCGATGGTCTTACAAATCTAAATATGTTTTATAGAAACCACGAACGAAAATACGCCTTTTTTAGTCATTTGATAGGAATTACGTCATCTTTATATTTTATATTCGAAGAAGGAGAATAATCAGGTTTTAAAATGTTTTATGATCGCCGAATAATTTGTGGCCTGATCATTCGTTTCATTAGCGCTTAGTGATTTCGACGGATGCTTTCCGCGTGAAGAAAATTACATATTTTTCTACGCCTTCAAAAACATATTATATAGGCTCCATAAAATATTGCAATGGATGCGGACTATGGTGTAAATTTCATGAGGAAAAGTGGTAAACAAACAGGTACGATGTTTTATGAGTGGACTTTGCGCGGTCTTAAAAATCTCATGATTGGACATTTTAAGCCTAATTATACTCCTTCGTCGAACATAAAATATAAAGATGACATGACTCTCTATCAAATGACTGAAAAAAGGCATATTCTTTGTTTGTGGTTTCTATAAAATATATTTGAGTTTGCAAGACCATCAAAAATCAGTATAAAAAGTGCATGCTACTTCAGCGGTCTTTTTTTACCAAAATGCTGTTTCGCTTCTAAAGGATTTCAAAGGTGGAACTCGAATACTGATTGCCATGCAATCTAAACCAGAGAACGTTCAGTCATGTCAGAATTCCGGCTTTTGAATGATCTTCTTTCTGGCAGCCTGCATAAAATACACTCTGTAAGAGATTACTAATTACGTTGTGTAAAATCTTTCAATAATTTTCGGTGTCGTATACATTCAGGCATATTGTTTAGAAACCACGATTACTCATCTACTATTTTGCACGCATTTTGTGAAAAATGGCGTCTCTCCGATAGTTTTCGCGAAGAAATGGTGCCTTTTGATTTTAAAGCGTTTCTGGCTTTGCGATTTTTTAAATTGTAAAATATCCGCATATGGAACATTGCATGAGCAAGTTTATTGATGCTGATTTTAAAATATGCTAATGAGCCCTACATAACGTCTTCTAGATGTCATGGGCAATGTGTGATTTTCCTTCCACGGTAAGTCTACAGCATGGAGTTTCGAAACCCTAAGCGCCAGTAAAACTGCCATCTGCGCTCCGAATTATTAGAGAATTGAGAGACATTTTTAAAACCGGAAGATATCCTTTTTCGAATAACCATTCCAGAGAAAAAACTAATTCTTTACTATATGAATTCAACAAAGAATAATATACCTCAATTTATAAGACATCGAAAATAGATGGGAAAATACATATTACGTAACCAGTCGATTTTTGTTAGACATTAATTTTTCAGAGGACCGGTAAGAGGTTTGTTTGAAAGCCGATATCGTGAAGTGATCGGAATATTGTTGAATTATGATGCGTGATTACTAATATTACGAATTCCCATAGGTAGTTTTTTCTAATCAGAAACACACTCTAGGATTTCACCTAACGTCTGGTGAGATAGCCAACTCAACGCATAGTTACTGACAAATGAACAGCATCCCTGCAAGCCACTGATGGTGGTAGATGACAATCAAAAAACGTTTTCTGTTAACCGTGCAGAATTTACAGGGAATTGATTAGATTCAGGCTTATAAATTTGTAATGTCGTTCTGATTTTTGCTTTTTTCGCAACCATGTTGTCCTATTGCTTTGGAAGCTTATTTCGTAATACCAAATAAAGTAAAAGCATAAAATATATCGTTATTATCAAGTAGAATTAGCCAATTTTCCTTCATATTTCAAATTTCTTTTTAAAGAAACTTTGTAATTAAAAAAACGATAAGTACTTAGAATTATGCAAATCTCAGTTGCAGCAAGTAACCTCTTAATTCAACCCATAGTAATCCTTTCTTGGAGGTTATGGGACTACTTCTATTAATTTCTGTGGCGGACTCCTAAAAACATGAAGGAATTTTAGAGGATCGAATTTGTGCCACTTTTTTCCTCGTTTTACGACTTGAAAATAGATGGCTGAAATATGGTAAGCATCAGTTAGACAATAAAATTTCGACCTAGAGTAAACTTAACATGTCCCATTCAGTTTTTTAGGGCTGGCAGCTAACAAAAACTGACAAAACAGACAGAGTAGACCAGTGGACAGGTACAAAGCAATACATTCCCCTGTTGTACGAAGGAGTTTATGCATTCTGCAGTGCCAGTAATTTTAATTTATCGACTTCGCTCTCAGTATCGTATCTGTTCAGTGAGACTAAAATGTAGGTCTGCGAATATGTTATTTTAGTGACGATGACTAGTAATCTAGTGAATTAAACACCGTAAAAACACCAACACACGCGAACAACATCTGTGATCCCGATGGTCTAACGATCGAGCTGCAAGTAGGGAAACAAAAGTGGCACGAAATCTGTCCCATAAAATTTTTTTATGACTAGAGGAATTTAATGACTTATAGTTATCTCTTATCAAACTGTATCTGATTATTCATACTACAGATCATCTTTGAAGTCTGTGAAAAATAGGGCCATTACATATTTTGTGAGTATCTACTCCGCAGATTATATTTTCCGGCCCCTCCTGTGGTTCAAGAATGCGGTGAAAAGACAATAGCTGACATTCTGGCCACACCAGCAAGCTGATTTATGACTCCCATTCAAAAGAAAGCGTCATACTAAAAACGTCCAGTTAACCGGACCGATTCCTCTCTGCTTCCGTTATTTGAGCAGAAATTAGACATACATAGAGGCATAAATTTTATCTCAATCTAGATGCCATGTCCGCTATCCGGCAGCGAAACGGTTAATTCAATTTTGCTTCTGGCTAGCCTGTAGCGCCCCACATAAAATAATTTAAAACATGTTTAGAATTTTGCAGAAATTCTGCAGCATTTCAAAACCTCCAATGCTAAGATATGTGCTGTTGGCTGTTGCACAAAAAACCTTTAGAATCGAAAACAACTATGTCGAAATCCGGTCTTCCAGTTCATGCTATATCGAAGAAATTTTATCGACAGATGATTTGGCTTTGAAATTTAGAACACAGGCCACGGAATCGCCAATGATGTATCGGCCGTCGCATCCGACGGTGTTCACTATGTGCTCCAAAGTAAGGTGAAGCAGGTAAGGTGACTTGTGAGGGAATTAGTTTATAGGGAGAGGGAACTTCCGCAGCATCTACCGCGCTCACCCCTCCTCCCTACCTGGACCCGGTGTCAAAACAGAGTTAATAAAACCGAAGGGGACAAGGACGCAGGTGAATAGTGCGGTCAAACCCATACTTTGGCGACCCACTCCTCATCCTCTGTTCCACAACAAATACTTGACCAGGATTGCGACCAACAGCGGAACGGAAGTGGATGATTGGGCAGTCATGCACACAACCTGTGTGCCCAGCGAGAGCGTAAGCGCATCTACCGCCAGAGAACCAAGTACCGGAGAACTGTGCAATGAGTTACCGTGCTAACAACACCGGAGAACTGCCAGCGCACATTAGACTGCGAGGTTTGCTGATCATAACTTAGCTGACGTTAACAAACCTTGGAGCCAATTCAGTAAGACCTGCAGGTGTACGTGGACAAAAGTTACCCTGTCGAGAAAATTCTTAACATTGAAAAGGTCATTACTATCTACAGTTCGGGTAAAAATTTGTCTCCTAAATAAAATGCTCTGGCTTTAATGGGGAGGAAACGAACTATCGCATGATAAAACAGAGCCTTTTTATCCATCCGAATGTGATGATGATCAGTTATGTGTCCACTTATTCCTACCGGCGCCCTGCCGCTATATTCCGGGAAAGTAACGTACCCCAGGGTCCTAGAACTAATCCCCGGCCGCAGCCTTAAGACTTATCTAAATCTCCCTGGGATTTAAAGCAGAACCGACATATTGCAGGGAGTTCCTATTTCCGCGTCATGCGCAGGGGGCACATAAGCGATCTTCGCCATAAATAAACAAAACACGCGTCAGCCAACTGTTGCATAGACGGATTAGCACCAAATATATCCGCGCACGTTAGAGGGAGTCAATTATTTTCGTGCGATTTTGTGTTTTCGAGTTTGCGCAGCACTTGACACAGTCGTAATTATTAACAGTTTTGAAGGCTGTCATGACTTAGTATGGGAAATAGGTGTATTGGGCAGGAAAGCATAATCTCCGGGCAATAACAAACTCTTCCGTAAGGACGAAACGTCCAGTAAGCGAGCAAATCACGAATTGTTGTTACCTTAATTTGAAATAGTATTACGCAATGAAATTGCCGTTTTTATTTTTGCCCATTAGACTCATTTGAGGCGTTAAGGGCCTCTAGTTGGATGGAATTATTTTAATAACTAGTTCATTACATAAAACCAGGACACTAGGCCGAAACAATTTTTCTTATATCCAGGTCATTTTCTACGCTGTTGAGTGTTGTTGAACTGGGCCGCCTGCCTCCACGTCCTTTAATAGTAAAGGGTCATTGTCACACACTGGAAACATTCTCATTAAATGCCTTCTGGAGATGAAACAACGCATTTCGTCTTCTCGTAAATTCTGTAAGTGAGACCAGAGATTAAAATTGTTCTTTTTCACAAAGTGCAAAGCAGATTTGGCTTCGCAAATGTTGGCATGCAGATGCATGGTGTTGCAATAATAGGTTTGGTTGAAGCCACTTTGATTTAGTACACGGAGAAGCACAAGGCGCAAACAGATGCACAAGGAATTATCACGAACGTCTGTATCAGACTGAGCAATTAAGTTGTCTGGGTGACTGTTTGCCGTCGGCTTTGCATGGGTACGTAGATCAGGATAAAAGGGCTGGCTACTTGAGAAGTTAGCAAGTACTTTTAACATTAGTAAAGTCACTCTGTGACGACTTATTAAGGATGGGGCAGGGCCTAGGAAGGAGCGAAACGGAACAAAAGTTTCCGCGCGTAAAGAAGACGGCAACTGTATTGGTCAAACACTAAAATGATGTCGTTATGTGCTCGTCTAGATTGTTCACAGCAAATGCCCGTCAGTTCTGCCTCTGAGCATAATCGGAAAGAGCATAGAAACATTTTTGCCTATAACTGCAGAAAAGCGATGACACACTGCTAAGTAAGAAACCCACTGCGGAACGCTGTTTACTTATTAGGAGGTATACTGGTTACTGACAGTCATTCTGAAAGCGCAGCTACTTTTGCAATGAGATCTCAATTTCAGACAAGTTTGCGAAAGTGACCAGGTGGTCATTTGTGGGGACACCTTCTTACAAAAACACGTTGTACCGATTGCACCTTTATGAAACCGTCGACATCTGATGATTTGGATGGTCTTCAACTTTGCGAGAGGCCAGTTCAGCGCTCACCGATGAACGCTATTGCCAGACAAGTGTTTGTAAAAACGCGAAGTATGCCTTCTGCTAAAAAGCTATCCGTCGATGCCGAATAGTTAACATATTTTTAGAGGGTTATGTTTCTGTTAACCGCTCGAAAAGATATTCTTCCGCTACCGCTTGTGACAGTAGTCTATCTCTAGACACCAGCGAACCTCTACGCCTGTAACTTCTGAACTTAACAAAGGTTGAGATGCAGAAGTTTTTTGCGCTTCGATTTGTCGCTTAAAACTATCTTTCAGTTGGCAAATACTAATTTACGAACAAAACTATATCTTAATTTGGAAAATGGTCGCTTCTGTAAGGCTGCCGCAGTTTGGAGAGGGGGGGAACTGGGTGGATGCCGTCTGCATAACACGGGCCTTCTTAGGAATTTAATGACATTTCATGAGTTATGTCACTTAAATTTGCTTACTTCTCATGTATCTCATGCTGAATTACGATATCGCATTCGATGGAGCAAGGGCTGTGAACGTGAGGTTAGCAGCTTTCTACTTTCTCACAGCAATCAGTTTCTAAGATGATTTTTGAGATGTTGCATACAGAATGCCTCTCTGGTATGGCCATGAAAATAAAGACCAGAATGTACATTTTTGTCTTTTTCAATAACGCCAATCCGTCATGCCTCAACCACAGACCACAGACTCGAAATAGGATCCGGTAAAGCTTTTGCCCAACAAGTCCCGCTTATTGATTGCTTTCTCTATGCCGGCACGTATGAGAGCCATACGACTTGTGGGTCCGTGATGGGTCCGGGGTCAATCGGAGCGCGCTTAACCTTCCTGAATTCAAGCCAGCCTAGGCAATACTACCACTGCTAGCAGTAGTGGCTGATCTCATAAAATGCTAACTTAGATTACTAAATGCATAGCAAATTACGAAAGACCACTTAAGTTGAGTTGTAATATTCATCATCGGGCGGCTTGATCTCAAAATATTCCAGCCACGCTAGAAGTCCGCCTTCTGAATACACTCCGTCTCTTCCGCCTGTATAAAGTGCACTCGGAAAAAATGACTAACTAATTGATTTCCTTTATCACTATAAATTCGGAAATTCTTATGGAAAACATGCATAGAATATGATTTCTTGTACTGATGTGGATCCGAAGGAAGTCTTTCGTTTGATTTATAAGGTACCATTGAGATACATTAAGCTACTAGGCCAGCGTCTGTTAGCAAGAGCCGAAGCGGCCGCCATCAGGTTAGGAAAGCCGGTCTTGTGAGCGCAGAAGAGCCTCATTTAGCCCCCGCGCTTACCGCAGTCAAAGGTCGATTAACCGCGTACAACTCTCCACACCCTTCCGCTCTCACCCCCCTGTCATGACTCTCCCCATGTTCCCGCAGTCAGCCTGTGCTTAAACACGAATTGCACTCGATTTCTCTAACCACCGACATGTTTTGCTCGACCCCATCCTCATAAAATTGTACTGGCCTGATGAGGAGTTATCGAAGGCAAATGTATGCTCGCCAGTTAGTAATGGTAAGGGGACGCGTGCCAATAGCGTTGCGGAACTCAATTGACCCGTTGTGCCTTGGAACTCCCTCTAGAACCCCGCCGGCAGCCGCACAGCGGCGCGTAATAGAGGCCGAGTTGCACTATGGATAACGACAAGGGAGGCTGGAATGTCCTGTTAGTCCTCACCAATCAAACATATCCAACCCCGCGTTGTGGAATCAATGAGGCTCGAACTCGTGACTTATTGGTTAGGATCCCAACGCTCTAGCCATTATGCCACGAGCGCACCGTCCCACCGGTTGCAATCGGGTACATTAACAATGTTAGAGGGGAATATCGGTGGCTGGCGACGGCTTAAAATCCAGAAATGGCCATTCAAGTCCCCTTTGTCTTTGTCGGTGAGGCTATTCGACAATTGGTCTTCCAAATATTGACAAGGTGATTTTCGCAACTCTGAAACAGTCTACAAGCTGCATACTTTCATGTATGGAAAATGGTACATGTCTCTGTACCATTAGGAAGATATCAAAAAGGGATCATAAAAATTTAACAGGGATGCGAACTATGTTGCTATTTTATGTTCAACACTAAAAAACGGTCAGATAAGACATTTCACGGTCCTATATAGTTCAATAATTGCAAAAATTCTAACATCAAAAAACCCTTTATCCGATTAAAAATGCAAAGAAACGTATTTTGCTACCACATGACTATAGGAAATATTATTTCTGATAATGTTTTTTATAATATATATTTGAGGTTTTGCAGATATCGGAAATCGAAGGAGAAAATTATACTGCATAAGAAGTCACTTTTTATCTCTTGTGGCTTGTTAAGCGGCAGAGAATAAGTGCGTTGGAAAGTCGGCATTCTGACGTGACTGACATACCCTAGAATTATGCCACGTGCTAATCAATTTCCCAACCCCACTTGAGTAATCCTTCCTCATTGTAAACGCATTTCAGAATTTCGGCTAACATTTCGGGACATAAACACATCTCGCGAGTTTAATTTCGTCTGAAACATTGAGGAACTGCGTCCGGGCACCATTTCAACTTGCCTGCAATCGATAATGTCTTTTATGAGGCAAAACCAAAGATGTGTCTGGAGGCGCCGTGGCTTTCGAAATGGCAAAAAATATTTTACTCCCGTACTAAGTCATCTTTTGTTGTTTAAAGGAACAAGAGTAGAATTACATACTTCTCGGTCGGAGCGAAGCAGAGCTCACTGCAGGTCCCATTTTGCCCTTCAGCAAGGTACACATAGAGTAGGAGTGGCAGGTTTCGATTAATGTGTCCTCCCCCGCCCACTGGCATGGACCTGGAGCTGAGACTACTTCCCGAACGACGTAGATGGAAGCCTGAACCGGGTTTGGGAGACGAACCGAGCGAAAGGGGCGGCGATCCGGAGAGGGATTGGCAAACGCTAATGTCGTCGCAGCTGGTGTCAGCGGAAGTCGAAGCAGCGACCGCAGATACCGCCGTATGCTGTTGCTCAGTTGCTTCTACTGCAACCGGCGCCACTAACGATGAGGCGGTCATCTGAAAGAGTATATCCGGCACTTCCGGACTAGCAGTGTGGTGGCGTACCCCCATTGTCCCGTCCCTGTTTGCTCCAGGCCTCTTCAGGCGCTTATTCTGTGCACCCAAGGTTAAAGACCGCGGAATGGGTGTGGAGGAGGGAAGGGATGCGGTTTGGTTGTTGTTGCCGGCACCTGATAACTGGCTTGCTTTGGCTGCGGCGGTGCTGCAGGCGTTCAAATCCACAGGACTGCCAATTGTAACATAGATCTTACTGCGTGCGCAGTAGTCTTGCACCAGGTACCGGTCATTTCTATAAAGTAGAGAATACTGGTTAATGCAAAAGGTCTATCAAGGAAGGCATTGCGTCAAAATACAGTCAGATTTCATCACAAAGTAACTAGACGGTTCCATCCGAAACGTTATTAGTCTTGTGAGGGAAACTGAAAGAATGGAGGACAACAAGAGAAACATGTCGGGAAAGAGTCTCAATGGTAAGGAGTTCATAAAATGTCTACGGAGAGGGTAGGAGAAACAAGCTCCTCTAGGCGAATTCTCTGGGTATGGTGTTCTTACGCAGCCACATGTCGGGAAGAGGATGCGCACTTTAAAGTCCACTGAATTCGTCTAAAATAGAAGTATCGTTTAACAACTTCGATGCTTCCGATGCCTGCTGAATTTTCAGTAAACAAATCACAAAAGAAGGTACTCTCATGATAGTCGTACGCATTTTAATACAGGCCTTTTCTGAACAATGGAGTGAGAATACGTCAAAATGACAACTACCTCACGTTAAACTAGTTTTATCTTCTGAGTTTAGAAAGCACAAACGGATAACCGCCTAACAGGTTGCACAACGAGCAAGTAAAAAATGACAGGGGCAAACAGACGAAAGTCAGTACGAATGAGCGAACATTTGTTTGCACTTATACAAGACTTTGCAGTCTGAGTATGGAACATTTATTCCAAAAACGTTCAAAAGTGGGGACTGTTTTGTGCGTTTCCTACTGTCTGTCTTATTCACCGGTCATTGCCCAACCTAGATTTAGGATATGTTTTGCCTCTTTGCACCACGGGTACCGTCCTTTTTAAGGGAGGAAGGATAAACTCAGAGCAGACTGCTTTGGTTAGTTACTGGTCTTTACATCCCTAAAACGGTCATCGTTCTCTTTACCAACTGTATATGGTGGGGATGAAAGACGAAGCAACATTAATTGATGTTGCACTAACTGGAGGAGGGAAGGTGTTAATTTGTTTGCTACTCCATAGTGCCACTTTCCTTTTCACTCAGAAGTGGATACTTATGGACAAATAATTTGCATATTATTTTGAGAGCTGGATCCTTAAGTACTCTCCTTTTTATCGTCTGAAGTGCCTGCTTGCTGACAGCTGTGATGATAACAGGTTCAAATACAAGTAAGTCCGTTTCCCCAAACCTTCCAAAAATATTCTCATAATGGAAGTGTTTTTAATCACAACAAGTTTAATTTGTTCGAAAGTCCCCAAATTACATAACTGTTTAGTATGCATATATATTTTTGTCTAATAATGGTCCACCTTCAATCGATTCACTGTCTTTCGGTTACATGGGAAACTGATTAACTTTTACTGCCGCCAGAGCCTGGAAAACCTCCTTTGACGTTTTCATGTTAAAACTAAAGTATGCGTGTTTGGCCTTTTGCAAGGATCCCCACGCAAATCGGTGACTTAGCTCGCCTTCTCTGTCGTGTATCAGAAGTCCTCCTAGAAAGTTATTCGGAACCGTGAGTAGTTATTTAATTATAAGTTTTGAGCTAAGTTCGGATAACTGAAGTCGGCTCTCCATCGTAGGATAAGCAGCATTTGGAGACCAACATGCTGGTTTGTAGGTTAATTCATACTCAATGAATTGGACTGTCATATGATCATGGTAAGCAAGTAGCAAAAATAGCGCTGAGACTGATTTAAGTGAAAACGCATCAGGAAAGGCATCTTCACAGACGTCTGCAATGCACGCTCATAATTCAGTTAGAGGGAACGACTCCCCTGAGTCGACCTTGAACCACCCACTTCCGGATTACCTGTAGAGTCCTACACTTAAGTAGCCAAAGAAGGCATTTCCGCCAACTGTGGGCATAGATCAAATCCTTACTTCAATTGAATTGCTCGGATCCTGTGTGACAAGTTGATTTACACTTAGTGCAAGACGTCATTACTAACAAAATCACGAATGCATAGCAGTATATCCTGTTCATTGTGATCATAAAGAATGTGTACCGATTAGGTTGCGCTGTTGGTTTGCTTGAGCAGAATTGCTTCCGACACGAAAACGACAAACCTGGGCTCCCAATAAGTACTTTGGCAAAACTTTCACGGCACTGTTAAGTTTGCTAATGAACACGCCGCGGATAAAGGAAACCAAGTTATTCCATTATTTGTGCTGAATGTACATTTTTCTCGGCTTTTATTTTAAAAGCATGCTATTAGCTGGTTTCTTCTTAAGCATCACTGTCTTTGTTGAAATAATTCATACGCGAATATAATTATAATAGGAAAAGCGTTTTCGAAATTGGTCTCCTTCATCGCTCTCTCCACAATGGCTCGGACGACGAACTGACATTGGACTCAGCGTATTATTGAACTTCCTGTCCAACACACAGTAGGTATGCTGTTTCATGAAATGTTTACAAACATTCCGAAATATATTTTAATTCGAAAACATTTCTTAAGTAAGCTTATCACATTACTCATCATATTGCGAAGTGTTAACATATTCCAGTCATGCCAGGATGTCGGCTTTCGAACGAGCTCCTTATCAGTTGCATTTGTAAACTAGAATTCTGAAAAGGTGTCAACTTAAGTAGCGTGAATTACTCGCATTGACTTATGATACCCTAAAAACTCCAAATATATTTTACGAAAAACCGCGTATAAAATATTCAATATTCTACGCAGTTAACAGCAAATTACGTCGTTTTTAATGTTAAGTCTGCAGAAAAAATACTTTTCGGTTTTAAGAAATGTTTACAATTCCCGAATAACATTAAGTCCAACCTGGCGTTTACTTGCATCGTGGATTTCCAAACTACAAGCAGTATACTTCTTTTATAAGCAAAATCATGCATTTCTATAGGCAATTACGAAGAAGACATAAACGGCCCCATAAAATATATTTGGTTTAATAAAGCCATCGAAATTCAATGAAAAATAAAGTATACTACTAAACAGTCATTTTTTGCGGAAGGTTGTTTTGCGCAGGCGGTCGATAAGAATCTTGTTCAAAAGCCGGCATCCTGATTTGACAATCTCACTCAAGTAATCTTTTCGAATTAAAACCAAACTTCAGAATTTCGGCTAACGTATAATGCAAAAGCACATGACCGTGCTGGACAGATGCAAGAGGAAATGCGAGTTGCAGGGAGCACTTAAGGGTAATACAATCAAGCGCCGTAACCAACATTTCGTTTGTCTAGTGTTCTGAATTTACACTTAAATCTATCGCAGTGCGACCACAGCCGACAAAGGCAGCGGGTGCACAAGCGGTCACAGTGTATACAGAATGCAGGTGTGACGCAAGTACATATATATATATATATTTATATATTGACATTCACAGCTTCTTCATTCATTGCGGACGGTTGAACCTGGTGCGTCGATGGCATGGTTGCCTGCATATCAGTCAATTATTGTCGCACTTTCAACATCTCTGTCGGCTATTGGCGAAAGGGTTGGCGGTAAGATGTGGTTATGCAGCTGCACCTGAGGGATATAATATAGTTGACATACTTAGTTATTTTTATTTGGTGTGATTACGCTGGCACGGTGTTGCTGTGCTTTGCGGCGTGTTCTGATAGCGGCCTTGTTTATTTATTCTCGTATCTACCTTTTTGGCCCTACACCGGTGGTCCATCTTGACTTTCGGCCTGTCGTCTCCTTCTAACTGTCTCGTTGGATGTTTCAGGGTTAGGGTTTAGGGTTGCAGATAAGGGTTAGGGTTAAAGGACAAGGGTTAGGGTTAGCGGGTCATGCCTCGAGGTTAAGGATAGGATTGGGTGTTAGGATCAAGTGTATTGGTTGGGGTTAGGGTTAGGGGTTAGGGTTGGGGGTTAGGGCGACTTGTTCTCAACCGTTTAAAGTACAACCGCGCATTCCTAATAGCACTAGCGGTCCCGTATTACAAGTGGCTGGGGTTTGTTTACCTCAGGTGCTGTTATATAACCATATCTGACGGGGTTGGCGTCACTTCTCCTCATTGCTGCCGCCTGGTTCGGGTAATCTTCCACTTTTTCTGGCATAGTTGCTGTGCCCGTAACTGTAAGAGATGCGCCAAATGACTCCAGACGTTCCCTGTCGTCACAGCGGCCCCTTGAATTCCATTGGCATGCACCTGGGGGCTGCGCCCGGCCCGTGTAAAAACCGGAGACCAAGTTCCATGAGAATAAAGCTGATGCCTTTAGAAACATTTTTTGGAATACGGAGCGTATGTTTAAATTTGATGTCGGCACAGTGTTTTTTCCGTCTTGTCTCTGTACGCAGAGAGTGACAAAGTTTCGCAGCCAAACATCCGCTGTGAATAGCTGTCAAAGATAGTGTAATTCGATGACCTTGTCGTCCGGCCCACCGCAGTACGTCTCAACACCCCGGTATTTCACTCTTATGCCACTGTGTTTTTGGCAACTTGGACATCTGCCGTTAAAGCTCAGTACTTGCTTCATATTATTCGCCTCTTTGTTGTGGGAAGGGATGCAGAATTTAAAGGTTAGGCGAACAGTATTCGTGTCCCAACAATCAAGTCGCTTCCTTCTCACATACTGTACCCTTTACAGGACCAAACCAGCCTTCTAATTGGTTGAAAAACCTTTCTGATCACACTGCTAGAAAAGTCGTCGTTGTCGTCGGACTTTCACCCCAATTAAATAAAGAACATGTTGTTCAGTAACCAGTTAGTGCGGGACTTAATCCATCGTGATAAGTTAGAAGCCCGACTGTTGGATTTTAGTTAGAACATGACGCAACACATGGGTGTTTCCTGATCTCCTTCCCAATTTTCCAGAGGCTGGGCTACGTTAAGAGCTCCCGAAACGAGCCTGGGAGCGGCGACTGTGAGGTGAAGTCTCGGAATACCAAAACACAATGTCGATTTAGCACATAAGTGGAAGCATAACTCGATCATCTAGCCCAGACAGCAGTTGAAGGCTCATAATGAATCTCTCGATTGTCCCACTCACTTGAGACGAACGACGTGACCGCAGGCATAGATGCAGTAAACGGCATACTCCCGAGCCTTCTAAATTGTGTAAATACGCAAGTTGCACAGGCAGAATCGCACGTGTACCACCCATTTTCTCGGTATGGGTTGGCCACAGACCCCAGGCGACTCAAGCGGAAAACACAAAGGGGACGAATAGAGAACACGTCCGAGAGACACGCCAATCGCGAGACGGTTGTACCACAAAAATATTGTCACTGGCAGTAGCGTCTATGTTAATCAAACACTATAAGGGAGAGTGGTCTACCCCGCTGTCAAAATCGCAAGCGTGTTCACTGACAGGGCAAATATCTACCGGACAAGGGATTGCATTTCATTTTATCCGTTCTTTGAAACCGGTTGGTTGTCTTTCTGCTAACAGCAGTGTCATCTGCGAACTCAAAATTATGATCAATACGTTTCATAAAAGAAGATAGAAAGTGGACGTCTAAGTTTATAGAGACTATGGAAACGGTTGCAAGCAGAAATACCAAAAGCACATTCGAAACCCCAAAAAACGGTGTGTTTATGACGCTCATCACAGCACTAAGATAAATAATCTTTTTCTGAGCTTATTTGCTTCGCGTGTGTCGTCAAATATTATTAACATGTTCTGCGGGATGATTTTCTCCCACCCAGTCTCTCAGACAGAGTCTTGTTCAATGATCCAGGCGTTTTATGCTAGGACTTTGTGCGGTTATACAGCGAGAATATTCTTCATTTATAACAAGGGTCCCATAACAGGCAAATGAGGCATGTCCACAATGTGGTTAATTTTACTGGAACTTAGGTACCAACGGAGATGCATCCTGTCAGGAAATGGCTATGGGAGTCTCCCATCAAGGGTAAAATTCACTGAGACTTGCCTTATAGGAGAAACCAAGCCAACATTGAAATAACAGTCTGATCGGCTTACGCCTGACTTAACCTACTGCAGCATAATAAAGAGGATGTAAGGGGTCAAATGGAGAAAGCAGCCGAAGGCGTAAGAGAGGGGTAATAAAATTGATGGGAAAAATAGAAAAGGACTAGAGGAGGAGAGGAGGTGGTGGTGGTGTTGGTGGTGGTGGTGG